GTGTGTGTGTGGTATCCTAGCAACAGCACCTTGGAAATGTGCAGCACACACCTCATTACACCTCTTGATGATAACTGTGTTTCAGACAGACACTTAGAGCAGAGATTACTCCTCTTCGGCGTTGGAGTGAAAATGTCACTTAGAAGAGCAGTTGCCCATCTCTCGCTGCACTCAGAGGTCTCCGATGGAAACGACGGCGTCACTAAGCACATTTTTATCCTCAGACGGCGACAATTATCTGCCTTAAGAATTCCTTTCAGCATCTCAATTGCCATCAGCGCCGTATTGTTAAAGCCTTCGGACAAATGGCTTACTGCACAGCCTGGTCGATTAGTAAGATTCACTGAGCACGGAGGGCATTTCGCTTACTCATCTTCGAATGTGCTCTTCTCTGCAGACCACCTGGGTGCAGCAGCACTTCAGCTCCTCTGGGTGTGAATGATGTATTACATCTCTGTAGAACAGCTAAACCTTTATGAGAGTGTCTCAGACCTCTGTGGTGCACAATTGATGATGGTAACACTGGAGGCCTTAGTTTCTTGACTTGTGCTCGTTTCCAGCTCGATTTATTATTAAACTACACTAGACCGCCTTTAGGAAATTCTCATTTCAAAATAATCCCCATTTATATACTGCTCAAAAAAGTAAAGGAACATTTTTTTTTTAAATCCCTGTATAGCATCAAGTCAGTTAAACTTCTGGGATATTGATCTGCTGTTAAGTTGCTGAGGGGGTTGTTAATCAGTTTCAGCTGCTTTGGTGTTAATGAAATTAAGAGACAGGCAGTTACTCTAGGAGGGCTGGACAGGACGGTTAAAGTCCTTACCCCAGCAGCAGGACAGCGGTCTGTTTCTTTGGTCAAGGAGGAACAGGATAAGCACTGCCAAAGCTCCAAAATGACCTCTGGAGTCAAACAACTAGAAACAGACTTCATGAGGCTGTGTAGTCAAATTGGGATTTGCCATAGAGTACCAGAACTGGCACTGGTGCCCGGTGCTTTTCACAGATGACAGCAGGTTCACCCTGAGCACATGTGAAAGACCTGAAAGGATCTGGAGAAGCCGAGGAGAAAATTTGGTGGTGGGTCAGTGATGGTCTGGGGAGGTAAATCCATGGAGACGGGCAACAGCACCCTGACTGCCATTAGGTATCTGGATGAAATCCTTGTGCTCGTTGTCAGAACTTACGTTGGTGCAGTGGGTCCTGGATTACTCCTAATGCATGACAGTGCCTGACCTCATGTGGGGAAAGTATGCAGGCAGTTCCTGGAAGATGAAGGAACTGATACCGCTGATCAGCCCCGCACTCGCCCGACCTAAATCCACCAAAACACCTCTTGGACGTTTTATTTTGGTCTGACACCACTAAGTTGCTCCTCAGACTGCCCAGGAGCTCTTTGCCACATCATAGTTTCAGTTAGATTTTTGGGGTGTCTTTGAATCTAGCCCTCTGATTGCTGCATTTGATGGAAATGAAAACAAACACATTAGCCAGTCCATATCCAGCAGTATTTGTTTTCTCATTCAGATCTGATGTTTTCAACTTTTAGCTTTAGTTTTTTTGAGAAGTGTATTTTACTGAGCCTCCCTGCAGCCCCTCAGATCATCATCGGTCTGAAACAAGCTATTTTAGCTGTTTTCTTCATTAAAAATCATACTTTACAATACATCGGCTGATTTTTGAACAAGATTCCTGTTGGGTGGTTATGTAGTGTTTGGGGCCCCCACAAAAAAGCTTTTCTTTGCTGGACAAACAGCAAAATGTTCTGAGATCAGCGACTAACTGATTACTCAAAAAGAAGTGTTAGAATCAGGAACGGTCCTGATCATCGTGGAAAATATGGATTATACGTTGGCTGTATATTTCCTGTAAACTTCTAATGTAATCTGTTCAGATGAGATGAGATGATTTATATTGATCTATCAAAGCTGACATCTAAGTCAGCTGATTTTGACAGGATAACCATTAGATTAAGACATGCCAGAGGTAAAGTTAAGATTTTAAAGTCTGATTCTTTATTTATTTATTCATTTTTAGCTTTGAAATCACTGATGGAGGGGGTGAGTAGTTAATTAACAACACTTTGAAATGTTAAAGTGCTGCAGTAGGTCTGGATAAAGCAATCCATCATTAGCTTCCCGCTCCCAACTGAGTCGTGACTTTCCACCAATCTTCTGATCTGCCATGTGTGGTAAAATGAAAAGCTTGGAAATTTAATTTAAGCTGTGCCGATGGTTTACAGACACACAGAGGAGGACGGGGAGAGAACAGGAGAGGATCTTAGCCTTGCATGCGTAATTTAATTTGCTGTGCGAACCGGCCAACCAGGCCATTTACCACTCTCCTCCTTGAAAACAACACGCAGAGCGTGGCCTTGAAATACTGCTGTGACACTCCAATTTCCTCTAACTTATTGTGTGTTGGTGCCGGAGGTTTGATTACAAGTGAGCCCTGCACAAACCGCCATCCATCAGCCCCACTCCATATGCACAGGCTCACAGCTTAATGACCCCCAAGGAGTCGCCCGGACACATTTATGAATCAGTCTGCCTGAATCAAATTACTCCTTCGGGCAGACAGTCCATCCCCAGCGGAGCTTCGGTCCTCTCAGACTGTGTGCAGGCGTTAATGTGTTGGGAGGAAATCTCTCGGACTGCCTCACGTTGCGTTTCTCTCTGTGCAGCTCTACGCTGGAGCCATCCTCGAGGTGTGTGGATGAAAACTGGGGAGGTTCCCTCAAGTCCAAGGTGAGTCCTCAGTTGGGGCATCATTACTTGTTTTGGAACAACAGCTTTAACTGAAACTGATCTTTCTCCTCTGTGTGAGTCTGTTTTAATCAGTGGGAGGGACAACAGCACTAAAAAGCCAGCAGGACTGTTTTCAAACAGCCTTTTGAAGCATTTGTTTATCCTTTGTCTCTCCCACATGGAGACGTGTGGTTAAACCTGGTGTCAGGTTGCAGCGGTGTAGACGTCTGGAGCCCCACTTGTGCCATATGCTTGCTTCAGCTGTGTCCCTCCTGTGTTTACAACAGTCTCTTCTGCTGTTAAAAATCTATTTCGGGGATGTTTTGCAGTGGTCACTCATTCCAAACCTCTGAGCTAAAATATAAAGAGTTAACTGACTCATTTGTCTCTTTTTCTCATCAGCTTTTGTTAGGAGTGAGAAGCCAAAGATGTTCAAGGGTCTTCAGATCAAGGTAGCTACGATGAATCGTGTTGCTAATGTACCAGCATTGTTTGCCACAGTAATTATTCTCAGGAGATGTAAACCAGATTATGCTGATCAAATGAGCCTTTCTCGTTCTTCTCCTCGCAGTACGTCAGAGGCTCAGATCCTGTACTAAAGCTTTTGGATGACAACGGGAACATTGCTGAAGAACTCAGCATCCTCAAGTGGAACACAGACAGCGTGGAGGAGTTCCTGAGCGAAAAGTTGGACCGAATATAGACACGAGTTTTATTTTTTTTGTTTTTGTGTTTTTATAATTTGGAAGACTCAGTTTCCCCAGATTACAAATAATGATTTATTCACTGCTTGTAGTTGAATCTAGCTGTGCAGATAGTTTCTCTGTGAGGTCTGTGCCTCCACCTTCAGGTGAGAGGGATTTTGTTTGTGGTCCTCCGACACATTCGTACAAATAGCCATCCATAACTCGTCTGTGATCAGGCTGCTGCTGTAACAGGTGAACTGTTGCAGCTGTTAATCTGATTTCCCACGTTTTAGTCACCACAAATGAAATCTAGTGCAGCTCTGTTTTATTAGCTCGTGGCAGAAAAACTCAGGAGACATGAAAAATTCATCCAAATCTCTCGCCGTGGTTGGGGATTACTAGAGGAGTGAGCAGATATGATTTGTATTTTGTGTGAACTGAGATGTCTTAGTTATTTACCAATTTGTACACAACTTGGCCTTGATAGATGGTTTCTGAATCTCTGATCTGTACGAATGTTTGTTTTTTGTTTTGTTTTTTTGTATCTGAAAATCACGAGTCATCTGGATCTCACCAAACTGCTCACGTGAGAGTGTTCAACAGGATAATGTGAGCTTCAGTTCAGTTTTACTCATTAAGTACTGATCACACATTTAGGTTTGAAACGACCTTGGACATAATGAACTGTATTGTCTGTATGTGGGACTTCCTGTTCCCGTGTGTTTGATATTCTTGTATCATTTTTAATTTTTTTTTTTTTTTTTTCTGAATAATGCTCAGCATTGCGACTGATCGCATCTGTAGTCGGAGCGAACAAATTCTAGGTCCTCTCCAAATGCAGATGTCTTTGCAGAGGCACACGTTAGTGAAGAGCTCACAGGAAACCAGTTTTGGGATGTGAGATCTGATGTAAATTTGTGTTTTTCTGCACCATCTGCTTTGAAGAGAAACTGCATTTGTTTTTGGAAAGCTTTTTATGTCCAGGTGATGGGTCGAAATATGCAACAATAAACAGTCACTGATGATTTTTCTCTCCATGCTGTGTCATTTCCATTAGACATTTCCATGCTAAGTCATTTGTAGTCACCAAACATCTGACTGTACTGTGGGTACAGGTTTTAGATTCATAGGTATGACTTTACTGACATCTAGTGGTTATTTATGACATCACATCAGTCCTGTGATGCATTGCCATTTTTAAAAATTTATTTTATCTTTACAAATTGTGTTTTTATTGAATGGCCTTCTTGTTATTATAAAACTGTAATATTTTTTTTTTCAGCTGCTAGTTTGGGTTTCAGTAGAGATGTGTCCATGTCAAGACCAAAAATAAAGATACAGTTAGTCATTAAAGCTCTTGGTACTGGACTGGATCCAGCTGTCTGATGGTTTTTACAGCAGAACCAGTTGAAGATGGGGCACCAGCACAATGTAGGTGGATTTCAGACAGCCTGAGTCCAGGTGCAGTAAGCTTCTAAGCGCTGTTAAAATGAGCTCCAAGATATCTGCCTGGTTGCTTGTGTCAGCTTTAAACTTGCCTGACCTTATTACAGATCTCCCTTTACAACAACACATTTGTTTCGGAAACAGTGACACAGTGGCCTGATTTTACCAGGTCTACCTGTTCCTTGGACTTATCTGCAAAATATACAGCATTAGTAAAAGTTTCTATACATACGTCATACTTTAAATACCTGCATGTATAGTCAGTAAATGCTTGGAGCGACCACAAGCACTTGGTGCACATATTTTAGGAATCACTGTTTTATTTTCAGACAGATAATGATTACACAAAACTCAAGTAAAAAAAGAAGCTTCAGTTACATGCAGCATCTGAGCATCACATAACCACTGTTATGTCCATGTAAAAAAATAAAAATAATAATATAGCCAAAAACTCTTTCCTTGCACCTGCAGCTGGACAGATGTGAGACACTGCTAACTTCTACTATCAGAAAATAAAAACGCACAATTGAATGCATATATGAAGCAAATGAAAATAAATCCCCTTATAAGGCAAACTGAACGTGTAAAGCTGGAAACACATTTCTATAGTAAAGTCAGACTACACGTGTTTACGCTGGGGCTGAGGTTACACATACTGGTGCTCTTTCTTGCCTCCCTCTGAGCGGTGGTCCATCACTTCAGTTTTGTTGTTGGACTGAGGTTTGTACACAACCCCTGGGTAACTGCAAAAGAAACAAATGGCAGGAAAAAAATCTGTTGTGAAAATGTTTCTCTTGTAAATGTCCAGATAAAACTGCAGCAGAAAGTAATTTAAAACATATCTTTGCATTTTTAAAGGTTTGCGCTCTCATTAGTTTCTGGCGTTGTACGTCTATGAGGGGACTTACCGTGGTTTCTCATCTTTTATCATCTCTCTGAAAGCGAGAGACTTCAGGATGCCACCAATGAGCAGGACGCCCCCGCCGATCCAGCCAACGAACAGTGCTGGGCCAAATGTGTAACTGGTAAAAAAAAAAAGAAGAAGCAGAAAACAAAAAACATTACATTGCACACACACTATAGGAATTAATTGGAGAAATAATTACATGCAAGCAAAACAGCATCATACGTGGTTATTCCTACTCCGCCCATTCCCATGTTCATCCCTTCTCCCATCATTTCTTGTGTGTAGCTGGTGTAGGTGGACGTCCTGAAACTTTCCACAATTTGATTGGCATACACAGAAGCTCCTGCAATGCCACACACACCTGAGAGAAGGAGAAAAACAGGAGCTCAGTGATTTATTTACCTCTCAGCTTGGTCAAATACTGCTATAATGACTGCAGTGGATGCTCATATTAAACATGAGGTGTTTTAACTAATGAGGTGCAAATAATTCCTGTGGGCCCAGACTGATCCAAACTGCATTCTGGGAGCCCATATCAGTTTATTTGACCATTAGATCAAATATACAGTCTGTGCTGTAAATTTCAGATGTCAGATGCAGTTAGCTAGAACTTTAAGAATACTTCCTGCAGTTAAAGTTATCTCATTATGATGAATGTCAATACTTCTTTGCAAATACTGCAGTTTCAGGAAAGAAATTATCATAGAAACTGTACAAATTAAAGTAAATACAACAAAAGCATGAGATTGTAGGTTGTATAGATTACATTAGTGTGAAAGAACCTCAGTAAAATTAAAGTATCACAACATTTGTGCAGCATTATCCTGTACAAATGTTAAATAAATTACAGCATGGTTGCTTTAAATGTTACAACAACTTGCTGGCAACACTGCTGCAAGTATTTTACTTACTCTTACAGTGTAGCTCAGTATGGTGTCAGTGGATGGTTTTATATAAAATCAGCCAGGTCTGAGGAAAGTTTACAACCGACCCATTCAGAATCTGCTACATTTGGTGGTCCCACAACTTTAACATAATCTAATGAAAGTGTACAAAATTTTAACTTCAGTTCACATATTGTTCCAGTTACAGGCCCTCAAAGTATGTAAGGGTGGGTAGAACTTGGCTCTTTTTAGGTAGCATAAATTTTTTCTGTATATTTGAGCCCTCATAACTTCATAAATACACCACATGAATATTTCATGGTTGAAAAAAATCAATAACAAAAACCATTTAAACTCTATTGAAAACTGAAACCAAATGAAAAAATGTAATTTGGGTAAACTTCAAGGGTGGTTCGTACAAGTTATCTCATATGAAAGAGCTCCGTTTGACCTTTTTACCTGTTCAGGCCAGGCTCAGCTTCAAGTTGCAATTACTTCTATGTCAAAATAGTTTTCTGTAACAATGATTTTAAGCCATTTGCATTCTTTGAGGGGCCTGTAACTCTGACAATCCTGTTAAGGTTACTGTATAAAAAATAAAAATGGGATATTTCGACAAAGTCTAGGAGAAACATTCGCTGATTTGAATGACACCAGTCACAACGGATGTCCCTAATTGTATGACTTTCAGCACAGAGGCCCCGCCCACCTGCCTGTTTGTGAGGGGCATCCACCGGTGTGCAAGATTTAAAAAAAAGAAGAAGATGATTTTGAATCATTGGTCATACAAAGATACTCTGGGGCTGTCCAATAATAGACCCCCCCCCCAAAAAAAAAGAAACAAAAAGACAAAAACAATTCAGTTTAGTTTGTACTAGAAAGTAGAGAAAAAGCTTCATTTGAACTTCACAGAGGTAAATAATGACCTGCGATGACGAACATGATGCCAGCAGTGAGGCTCATCTTAGCCTTTGCGCTATCTGCCATCTTGTTCATTGTGAGGCAGCTCAGGGAAAAGACTGATATCAGCATCCCGAGCACACTCAGCACCACACCCACTATCATCAGAGCTCGCACCGCCTGGAAGGTACCTGGTGGACAGAAAACACGGAGGCCTTAGTGCGTTACATTGACTCTAGTCAACCTAAGACCACTAATGAGTTCAGTTCAAGTCTTATTATGTCAAAAACTGTAGATGGCTTCACAAAAAACACTCTGACAGGTAGGCTTTTATACTCAAATGACTAATTCTTCAAATACAATGTGTCTAAAGATTTGAAGTGTGTTCTCTTACAGTAGATGTGCTGTTGGGAGGTGCCTTTGCTTGTTGTTTGTTCTGCTTTCTGATAACCGAGTCTCGGCCTGGCCTTTATGATAGAAGTGCTAATGCAAACACCAATACGTGCGGGCCCAACCCTCACAAAAACCAAGGGTTGATCTCTTTCGGTGACACTTTTCTTGTTTTGTCTTAACTTCCTCTTTACTTAGTTTGAAACGTATCTACATCCTACACGACAGTCCAAAACTTCTACAGACACATTTAAAAACTCAGGTTCATGGCTGATGAACGTGGTGAGGTTTTCACCCTATTATTACCAGTAGGGCATTTCACTTCTCAGCACTTTTCCTTTTTTATTTTTCATTTTTGTCCTCGCTTCAGTTTTAGTTGGTTTCCAGTTTGTATTTGCTTTTTAAAATGATCATTATTTGTTTGTTTATCCATATGTGTATTTTTTATTTTAATATTCAGGGTCTTTGTTAAAAGAAAATTTCAAATAAATGTAAAAAATAAGTTTTTCCAGACATGATAATATACCTGTGAGTCAGGTTTATCAAGTATTTATGTTGACCAAAATGAGTTTCCGAAGTGCAAAACATATTTTTTTCCCTACAAGTTCTTCAACCTAATAATTACATTTTACTTTGCAAAGAGTTCAGGGAGGTTTCTAAGTGAGGATATTAATCAGCCAATGTTGTTCACTTCATTATTTTACAGTTTTGTTTTGTTTTTGTTTGTTTTTTTACAAATTTGTTGAATGAAAGAGACGCAGAGAGGGAAGCGATCTTTTTCCAATGCTGTTGCTTTTACATGTTTCATCATGGCCGAAATGTTGATGTGAAACAACCTCCTCCTGGGACATTTGAGAGGAAGCATATGTTGGATCTCGACATACGGCCTTGTCCTGAACATCTCCTGAGCACTCAAGACATTTTAAAATAACCAAATTACAGAATTGCATCTATGATCAGTGAAAATGTAACATCTCCTTTTAGAGCAGAGGCGGAAGAGTGTTCATTTCCTTGTTAAGAAAAACTCCTGCGGCTGTGGCCTTGTCAGTGAGGGGAAAATAATTCCCAGCCTGAATATGTTCAGTGTTTAAGACAACAATGATTTAGACTCATTTGAAAGCAAACAGTCAGTCACCAGATAGGATGTGAAAATTAAGGCTTGAGAGAGCCTCGCCATACCTGAGTAACCCAGAAGGCCGTAGAGCGGGCGGCACTCTGTGAGTCCGGCGGAGGTCGTCTCACAGTCTTGCCACAGACCCTTGTAGGTATAAACGGAGGTCACGACCTGCTCCTGCCTGTCCTTCACGCTCCAGTTGTTCATGGCTGTGGCCGCAATGAGGGCAGCTGCACCGATGAGACCCAAGATGAATCCACCATTTTGCAGAATTGAAGGCGCCATCGTTGTGTGGTGGTTCGGAAGCTGGAAAATATACACCTCGGAGATGCAGTCTGTGTGTAGATTAATAGATACTACTTAAAGTATAGCTGGACATACAACTGAGTGTAGATTAAGGTGTCACAGGTGTGCCGTGTGATGCAGAGAATCAAAATGTGCAAAGAGGTGCTTTGTAGTCATGGCGGTAGTGTGGTGGGTGGAGGAGACTGGGTGTTACCCCTGGGTGATACGGCAGCATGGGTTGGGCTACCAAGTGGTGTGAACGCAGTGGCGATAGGAACACCTGACACCTCTATGAGTGTTTTAATGTAAATACGAGAAAGAACGCTACTATTCCTGCAAATTACAAACTGTTTGTCAGTCTAGAGTCATTAGTAACTCCCTCACACTAGAAAAAAGTCTGGAAAAACAAGGTACAGATACACACAGGTGAGCGGGAACCGATCAGGGTGGCCAAAGATCACCATCAGCTACACAGGAGGACTTAAGAAGTTTAAGAAGATTGCAGGCTCTCCTCTCTCTTGAGCTGCAGTGTCCCTGCTAAAAGTACAGTGAGGAATATTTGATGCATTTCTACCGTGTAATGCTGAACAAATGCACATTTAGACAATAAAGGACACCTTGTCTTTTTCCATTTACACTTCCAAATACAAGAGATTTGCTTGCTGAGCTTTTGTACATGAAGACCAGAGCTCACTGTGAGTTCTCTTTCTTGTATATTGTAGACGTGAAACAATCTTGTACCTCATACAGTTTCCATGATTCTGCTTATCACTTGGTCAACAAACGGGAGAGGAGATAAGTTCCTATTATTCGCTTATCATCACCCTGGCTCACTTTTGCTTAAACACACACACACTTACACACACGGAGTCATGCAGTAGTCAAATATGACTGGACTGGAAAATGTAATTTTGTAATGTTTGCAATGTTTGTCAGTTGCTGTGAAGTGTCTGTGATGTTTTAGTATCTGTTTGTCTTTAGTGTAAGTCTGTAAAACAGCTTATCAGGAGATATAGGTGGTTAGAGCTTAACACAATCGCAACAGTGAAGCAATTATTACAGCTCATGTGTGATGTAAAATATGATTAACAGGGTTGTGAATCACCCCCAGTGACTACAACTACCAGCTTCTGCTTAATATTATTCATCAAACAGAAACTGACCCACTGCTTTACCTGGTTTAACACAGTCTTAATGCAGTTCTAAACATACATATATAGACAGTCCCTCTGAAAACATTTATTATTCCCAATTCAGAGTACAAATCAATCAATCAAACAAAAACAGTCCCACTTAATGAAGCAGATATTCTGTGGAATAACTGTCCAAGTGTGAGAACTAATGAAAACCTGTTTTGGAAAGGGGGAGGAGACAAGTCTATAACTTCAGCATGTTGGTCCTATGTTATGCATGTCCACTGTATTTAAACTGAAACGATTTTTCTTACAAAAGAGTAACAAATTAGCATCATCACCACCCTCCCCCTTCTCTAAATACTTTTTTTTACTCTATTTACATGGAATAAGGAGTAATACAGGGACTTTTATAGGTTTTTTTTTTAATCAATCCATGATTGAAATATCTGCGCTGACACTTTAATATTTAAATGTGGTCATCTAAGCCTGAGTCTCTAAACGACCTCTTCTTCTTTCTGTGCGCAAACTTTCCCCCTCCTGCCCATGCGTCTTTATGTGTATCCAGTCTGTCACACACTGGAGCTGGGTGAAGCGTACGAGTCCATGCCGCTCTTGGTCATCCCTCCAGGAAAGAGGATATATGCCACCTGGGGTTGTAAAGTAGCTGCAGACCAGGCGCCACAGTTACACGGCATCATGTATCCCGGGCCGGAAGGCGATGGGTGAGTGTGGGTGTGCTGTGCGGGGCAGGGCAGACCCCCAAACCCTCCAGTCTGGTATCCAAAGGTGTGCGCGCTGTAGGGCACGGCGCCTGCGGTCAGAGAGTGCGGTATCTCCGCCATCCGCTGGACAGCTCCGGTGCTGAAATGTGCCACCGGCTCCAGGAGAGAGAATGAGGAAGCAGCGGAGGCGGGAGCCAGGAGAGCTCTGGCTTTATCCCCGGGGACGAGAAAAGAGTCGATGGAAAATCCTTTCAAGTGTTCCGCTGCGTCCCCGAGTAAAGACGGCAACGGGAAAACGAACCGGTCCCTCTTCAGGAGACTCTTAGGTTTGCGCCGGGGTCTGTACTTGTAATCCGGGTGCTCCTTCATGTGCTGAGCCCGCAGTCTCTTGGCCTCGTCGATGTAGGGACGCTTCTCAGAGTCAGAGAGCATTTTCCACTCCGCTCCGAGTCTCTTGCTGATTTCAGAGTTGTGCATCTTCGGGTTTTCCCGGGCCATCTTCCTCCTCTGACCTCTGGACCAAACCATGAAGGCGTTCATAGGTCTCTTGATGTGATCTAAAGGTTTTGCCATCGCAGGGACAGACGCATTAATTAAAACACCTACTGACCGCACTTTAAATTCACCTACTCCTTCAAAAAGCTCATGTTTCTCTAGTGAGTAAAATGGAAAAGTGCGAAGAACTCTCGGGAATAGCCAGAGAAATATTTTAAGCTAACACTAAGTCCAAATTGACTGAAGCGTTTACACAAAGTGGAGCTGAAAACTACATAAAGCCAAAAGCCTGGGCGTATGAATGGAACCAAGAGGAAGCTTGTTATGGAAGATGCTGGGCATGTCATCCTCCTCATCATCACACCACTGTCACGGCGGGCCAAGCCAATGGGAATGAGAGAGCGCACTGTAATCCTCTCACAAAAAAACTGACTGTGAAGGCCTACAACATTTGAGGAGCACCCCCTCTTCTCGCTCTCCAACAGTTTTTAGTCTCTTCAAATCTCAACTGAGAGAAGCAGGGATGAAAACCAGCGAAGAAGCTGGACTGCAGAAAACTAGAAACTAAAAGGATTTGTATGAGGGGGTTGAAAGGTGCGGCTGCTTGTGGCCCTGAATGCCTCATTTGCACAATAATAATCTTCATTTCAAAGGAAGTCAGCTACCCTTATTTTATTTTATTTTATTTTATTTTATTTTATTTTATTTTATTTTATTTTATTTTATTTTATTTTGACAGGTTTTCTGAAACTGTGCCACAGTTAGCACCACAGTTGTTCTTGGCTACAGTGTTTTCTTTTTCTACTCTTAGTTCTGTTTTAAATTTTGTGCTGTCCATTCAAAGTATTCTTGCATACCTCTTTTGTTAATCCACGTTGAACCAGCTCCTATTGTTTTTAAATGCATGGTGGAAAAAACAGTGTCTAAAACCAATGTAATCAGCCCAAAAAATCCAACTGCAGCTTGTTAATTCCCCTCAAATTGCTAAAACTTCCAGATTCCCCTCCAACACGGATGACACTGCTCTTGAAATATGGCCCTGTGTTAAACTAAATTAAATGGGAATGCCTGCAGGTCTTGGCTGGTGGGCCAAACCCCAACAAGCCCTTGCATAATAAGCTGACACCTTTAAAATGCTTCCACTGGCTTTAGTGAGGAAAGACCAGTACATTTCCAAACAGGTAAGTGCTATTTCATTAGTATGCCTTAAAGATTTCCCCATATTCAGCTTGGCTGACTGTCTTTAGAAAGAAACTTGTCGGCAAGGGTCTTTGCCCTCTTTGCCTCAACATCTTACTTTTGCATGCCATGGTTGTAAAACTGACAATGATTCAGACCTCAGTCCGATCTTAACAAAACGCTCCCAAACTCTCACCCTCCCTTTTTCCTGCAGTTTTCCCACTTTGCGATGCCACCCACCGTGGCCCGATCTCTGTTCTCTCCAAACTCGCTTCCACATTTGCCGCAAAATCAGTTTTTACTCTTACCTTTTACATCGCTCATTTGAATTCTGTCCAATGACACAATGCAGGTTTATTATATATCAATATGTGCGTGAGTGGCTCACCCCTCCCTCCTTCGTACTCTGTGGGATCAATATTAATCAGAGATGTAATTCACAGGTCCTGGGTGACTCCATTGATTGTTACAGGTTTTATCATTACTACCTTATCTGATCAAATGTATGCTTCAGCTTTCTCATCTGTTATTGAAATGACATTTTTAGAAACTTAGCAGCAACTTAACTATGATTTATATGTAGTTTATGTGCATATAATTTATTATTGCCTAATATAAAAGGTAACCCTAATGGTTTAATGTATAGAATACATGTACTGTAGAGGCTCAACATATAACAGGGTTTCCAGGCCCAAAAAGGACTTCTGCGAAACGGATTATACCCACGACAGAAGCAGGATGTGTTTGTCTGTGAGCAGACCTGCGGTGGTCAGCTGAAGCTCAGGGTTTAGGTTTCGGTTGCAGCGATGAATTCAGATATCAGGGTACCAGCGAGAAGGGGGGGCTTTATTTCATTTACCTCCCACAATCAAAGGCGCCGCAGGCCTCTTCAAAGGCGAAATAAATGGACATAAAAGATCCGGTAGGGCACAATGCGTCGGTGGTGGAGATGATAAGACGTTTTCGGGGAGTGTTTTTTCCCTGTGGGTTCCCTCGCAGCAGACGGGCTGGAGGGATAAAGTGATTGGCAGCAGGGGTCAGACAGCTGATCTGTCTCCTCATAGCTGTGCTGTTATCTCCCGTGCGGTAGGTTCAGACGGGCCTCGCACGCAGGAGGCACCCGCAGCCACACAGAGACAATTATTGCTTCTGCAGAGGGACCATGTTTTAGAGAGTTTTCCACTGTTTGAGAACAACAACGTGCAAGGTAGACTGCACAAAGGGCAGCGCGGGGAAACCATCTTTGTCACTGGTATATGTCTTTTTTCTTTATCCTGCAGAAAGCTCTCTCTGTTGTTTTAGT